TTTTTTTTTTTAAATCTTCCTCTGTCGAGTTCTGCTTATCAAGCCATCGAAGCTAGGTCAAAAAGGGTACTGTCTGCAAGTTTGGGTGTTCTTATGTATCTCCCCTCACTTCATATCAGCTGGATACTTCACTCTCAGCTCTATCCCTCTGTGGCTATGTCCTTGTCCATGGGCTCAAGTGTCCTCAGGTCTCATCACACTTTGGATCAACTAGCCCTTCCTCTTCTCTTTCTCATATCCAGGTCAAGGGGAGTCAATGGACTGTGGTTGAACTCATCCCATTTCTTCATTGTTGTCTTTCCCCCATTTCCACTCACCAGTAGACCAATGTGGTTTCCAGCAAGCTAAAATGCCTGTTTGTGTGTTCCCTTTGAGTTTCAGTATAGTGGGGAGTTTGTCCTGAAGGAACTTGATTGCTTGCCTTGATAGCTTCCTGGTGAACAGCTTGCCTATTCTTGTAGTAGCCTGTCATTTTGACATTTTTGTTTTGAGTTTTTCCTGATGATCTTTCTTTGAACATGTATCTTCTGTCACTCAAGCTGTTCCAGGCTGCACTGCTTGTCCTTGCTAGTGAGAATGTCCCACCTCACAAGGTTCTGGATGGGACTCAGCATTCCACCTAAGGTCCTATACACTGCAAAGGCTGTGCAAGAGGCCCATTTCACTGGGCAAGTTGTAGAACCCTTTTTAGGTATTCCAATCAGTTATAGGCTGAAGATGGGCTCATAAGTTTTCTGTAATCATGTTTCCCAACATTCCTTTCTATCCCACTCAAGTGTCTATTTTACAATAGTAGGCAAGGGAAACCAATATTCATAAGACAATCAAACATCTTAGTATTATTTCCTTTCTTCAAGCTATGCCTAGCTCCCTGTATCACAGAGCCCTGTTGTTCCAAAGTTGAGCATGTATCACTATTTACCTCTGTCCCACTTAGGCCATGCAAACCTTTCTCAGTGTTCCCATATCTACCTTGTTCTTCCGTCTCCTCCCCCTTTTTGTATTGCCCTCCCCAACACCCAAACTAAACTCCCCACCCCAACCCCTCTGTTGTGGTTTACTTATATTCCATTAACTCTTCCCTCCATTTAAGACGGTCTATTTTATCCTATAATCTACCTGACCTTCCCACCACCTGGATCTTTGTTCCTTTGTGTTTACCTTCTTTCACATTGTAATTGTTTTGATCATAGACTAACCTCCCAGATCCTCTGTTATTTTATTCTGTTCTTGACTCTTCCATTTGTCGATTGAGTTCAGTGTGATGCTGCCACATACATCATTCTCTGGTTGTTGTCTGTTCTTGTCGGTTCTCTGTCCACAGAACTTCCTTTAGGATGTTTTTCATAGCAGGGTTGACTTTGGCAAAATCCCTTAACTCCTGTTTATCCTGGAATATTTTGATTACACCATTGTATTTGATTGACCGCTGGGTAGAGGATTCTTGGTTGGAATTTTTTTCTTTCAGGGTTTTATATATGTCTCCCCATTGTCTTCTTGCCTGCATGGTTTCTGTTGAGAGATCCAAGCTTAATCTGATTTGCTTCCCTTTGTATGTTATACTTCTCTTTTCCCTAGCTGCTTTCAGGATTCTGTCCTTACCTTTGATTTTGGAGAGCTTGATTATTGTATGTCTTGGTGATTTTCTTTTAGGGTCTATCCTTGCTGGGGTTTGTTGAGCTTCTTGAATGCTTATCTTTTTGCTTTTCAGGATGTTAGGGAAATTTTGTTCCAGAAGCTCTTCAACTCTCTCGTTTGTGGACTTGTGTGATTCTTCCTTTTCTGGAATGCCAATAATTCTTAAGTTATTCCTCTTCATTTTGTGCAACATGAATCTTAGGCCTACTTCAGATTTTTTAAATCCTTTTTTCTGTTTGCTCTTCTATCTTAGTAGTGTTGAAAGATTTATCTTCTAGCTCACTAGTTCTGGCCTCTATCTCATCCATTCTATTACTTTTCCCTTTTAGTGTATTGTCCATTTCTGATATTTTATTATGAATCATTTGGACCTCTTTCTGTAGGTTTTGAATTGTTTCCAATGCTGTATCTATCTTATTTGATTGTTCCTGTAGAATTTTCCTGATTTCTTCCTTATTTTTCTCAACTCCATTTTATAGTGTTTTGATACATTTTATAATAATTTTTCTGAATTCCTTCTCAGGCATTTCCAAAGCCTGCTCATCTTCCAGTATGGAGTGTAGGTCTACTTCCAGCTCACTTTTCTCAGACTTTTTATCTTGTCTGGACATGTGCTGATATGGTCATCTGTTTCTGTTTTTTGGGGAATATTCAGGAGTTATCTGTGGCCTTAATACTTAGATGGGTGTGTATTTTGGTATTTTTTTATGCTTTCTGACTTCCTCCAGGTAGATATGATCAGGAGACAGGCTTCCCTTTTCACTCTTCTTCTGGAGAAATTTTAAGATGCCACTGTTGGTCATTGTGATGTAAATCAGGATTTACTTTTTAGCCTATTTACTCTTTAGTCCGCCTGCCCTGCTCCACAATCCCTGTTCAGGCCTTCTTTCTAATGATAAACAGTTTGGGTTTGGCTGTGGCTGTGCACTGCCATTTTGTTTTAAGTGGAAATTGTCACTTTAAATTTCGAGGAAAGCTGTGTACATGTGTAGAAGAATCTTTCCACGGTTGGGGGTGGGGTTTCCTCTTGCTCAGGCATCTCCTCTAATCACCAGAATGGAGGTACACAGACAGCCAGAGACCAATGCACAGATACAAAAAAATAAAAAATAAAAGAATGTCCACACCTTTATCTCTGTGGTTCTGTCAGGCATCCATGGCTGCTCTGATCCTTCCCCACCTAGTCTTACTCAAGATGGCGGCTCCTGGAGTAGCTGAGCGTCTTGAATTAGAAAGCAATGGATTTCTTCCTTCTGCTACAAATTCCCCTAGCTGTAAGCCTTCCAACCGTCTAAATATTCCTTTATATGTTGGTCAGAGTTCTGGGACCATCCCCTGATCCTGCTTGGCCCAGTATTCTGTGTTGTTGCTGACGGAGCTCCTTACTGCACGCCTGCCTGGTCCACCATCATGTTTATACTCTTCAGGCTGTAAATCTTTACGGAAGCAGAGAACCTCCTTTTCCTGCTGTTTCAAATTGCTGTAGGTGTTCAGTAAATGCTCATGGAATTAATTCATGACCTGCATTTCTCCTGAAGTTTTAATCAATTCCTAGCTCACTCTGTATACACTGCTTACCTGAAATACTCTGTTAATTGTGTTTTCATCATTCAATTTTATAGGTAGTTATTTTCTCACAATAGCACACTACTTTAAGGTAGACGGTAATGCTTTAGGTTTTTCCAATGACCTGCTCCTCCCATCCAGTGTCCAATCCACAATATCTTGGAAAACTTTTAAAGTTCTTGAATATCCTTTATTAATGAATTGTACTTTTTGGTGTCTCATACAGGTCGAAGCCACCAATCAAATAATTGCTATTGAACAGTCCCAAGCAGATAGAAGCAAAAAGATTTTCAATCCTGTTAAGTAAGAATTTATTTTCTGACTGTCTTTTTGAATGTTTTAAAAAGAAATAACTCTTGTCCAATTTATCTTGCTTATTTAAAACCTAGCCTGCCTCAGAAATTAAATGAGTAATAGTACATTAATACCATGAACACATGCTTACTAACAAAAATAAAATTTGTAATATGCATTGAAATAATTGTAAAAATTCTCTATAAAAAGATTCATTAAAAATCATTTATTACTAATAATTTTGTTTAAAAAACCTTGCTAACAACTTTGGCTCCTTGGAATAGATTATAGGTGGATTTTTCTTTTCTCATTTAATTCATTACAATCCTGATTGAATTAATTGCAAGTTTCTGAATCAAGCTGTGCTTAAATTCACTTTTTCTTTTTTCTTAAAGCTATATTGGTGATTTCACTGCAAGACAGAACACACACATCACTTAGACTATACAAAGATAGGTGGAGGTCCAAACTTAGAATTTTCTCTGTAGAATGACTTGAGGTGGACTTTTCATTTTGAATGGCAAAGGAAGAGAGGTGTAGTTGAGGTAGTGTAAAAGGTTGACTTGCTTGGCTGCTAACCAAAAGGTTGGAGGTACAAGTCCACCCCAGACACCTCAGAAAAAAGACCTGGAGATCTACTTCTTAAGAATCAGCTATTAAAACCCTATGGAGCACAGATTTACTTTGACACTAACGGGGGTAAACAGGAGTCAGAGTGTATTTGATGACATCTGGTTCAGGTGAAGGATCTCATTGTTTTCACCTCGAGTCAGTCCCAGCTGAACTGGAAAGACAATGAACCCACAGCCTGCCCAGAACAGAGTAGCTTCCCTCACCCTTCAAACATTAGCCACTTCCATAAACACAATTCTAAACTCATCTGAGGCATCTGGATCATCCTTGCCCAGGCAAACGGGGTGTGTTCTCTATGAGAAGGCAAATGAGTGAAGATGTGAAGGGAAAGTTAGAGAAATTCCTTTACTTAGGAGATGATGCCACAGCAACATCTTTTTCTCCCCCTGTGGAGGTAAAAGAACCCTTTTGTGGTGTATGGAGCATAACCCTTTGTGAGTCAGAGACTTGGACTTTGATTTCTGCTGAAGGGATGTTTCTTACCATTCAAGAGTTCTTCGCTGGTCTGCCACAGTAGCTATTCCTCATGCTGTGGATGGTTTATTAGTAATCAGTAACTGGGATGAACTGGCCCCAGCAGTGTGATGAAAACTGGGAATTGAACTTACCTGGGTGCTAAGAATGGGTTAGATTTGATGAAAGATGCTGTGATCTCTTACAGTTTCTTGGTGTTTTTGTTATTTGTTTTAGAATCGACCTATTGGCTGACCAGGTCACCAAAGTAACGCTGGGAAGATTACACTTCAGTGAAACCACAGCAAATAACATGAGAAAGAAGGGAAAACCAAATCCTGATCAGAGGTACTGGTGTCACTATGTCCACTCCAGGGTGGTGGGCATTTCTGATTTTCTGATCTTCTCCAAGAAGCCACTTCCCTCTCTTGCTCTCAATTTATTTAAAATACAACAACAAAAAACCACCATCCAATCAATTCTGACCTATGGTGCCTTGTGTGTATCAGAATAGGACAGTGCTCCCTAAGGCTTTCAGTTGTGGATTTTTCAGAAGTAGATTGTTAGGCTTTTCTTCCAAGGTGCCGCGGGGTAGATTAGAATCTCCAGCATTTTTGTTATCAGCCTAGGGCATTAACCATTTGCACCCAGGGCTTCCAGCCAGTTTACTGACATATCATATTTGCTATCCATTAGACACCTTTCTTCTTCCATCTTTACTCCCTTCAGTGCCCTCTCTCCTGCTCAGCCCTAAATCTGCTTGCCTTAGTTCCCTTCAAGATTCATCATCAAATCCGTATGCTGATGTCTCATTGTCGTCTGAACATTGAGGATTAACTGACTCTTACCATCTGTATATGCTGAGACCCAGTGCTATGCCTGAGACCTGTAACACTCCTATAACTTTTTTTTTATTAAGAAAAGAAATTTGCAATAATATTTAGACTTGTAATTTTCAGTGCACATTTTTAGAAATAGCAGTGTTGGCATCACCTAGGAACTTTTTAGAAATGGAGATTCTTGAGCCTGATCCCAGACCTACTGAATCAGAAATTGAGGGATGGGGCCCTTTAACTTGCATTTTAGTATGCTCTCCATCCAGGTGATTCTGATGCAAACACAAGTTTGAGAAATACTTTCTTAGACCACAGGTTTTGGAGTTAGTCTGAATTAAGTTTGAATATTTGATTCTGCCCTTAACTTCGTGAGGTTGGGCATGTAACTGAATCTCTACGACACTCATTTTTCTATTTTGTAAAGTGGAAACAGTAATCATATTCTACTTCAATAGGGTTATTTTGAGGGTCTAAATAAAATGAAATAAACTGCCTCTGGACCAAGAGGCAGTTGTTAGAACAGAACATGGGAACACTGAATGGTTTAAAATTAAGAAAGGTGTGTGACAAGGTTGTATTCTTTCTCCATACTTATTTAACCTATATGCTGAACAAATAATCCGAGAAGCTGGGTTCTATGAAGAAAAACATGGCATCAAGATTGGAGGAAGACTCATTAACAACCTGCGATATGCAGATGATACAACCTTGCTTGCTGAAAGTGAAGAAGACTTAAAATATTTACTGATGAAGATCAAAGAGCACAGCCTTCAGTATGGATTACATCTCAATGTCAAGAAAACAGTAATCCTCACCACTGGACCAATAAACAACATTCTTATCAACAGAGAAAAGATTGAAGTTGTCAAGGACTTCATTCTTCTTGGATCAACTATCAACACTCATGGAAGCAGCTGTTAAGAAATCAATGACGTATTGCATTAGGCAAATCTGCTGCACAAGACCTTTTTAAAGTGTTGAAGAGCAAAGATGTCAGCTTGAGGACTAAGGTGCGCCTGACCCAAGCCATGGTATTTTCAATAACCTCATATGCATGCTAAAGCTGGACAGTGAGTAAGGAGACCGTAGAAGAATTGATGCTTTTGAGTTATGGTGTTGTAGGAGAATATTGAAAGTGCCATGGGCTGCCAAAAGAACCAATAGATCTGTTTGGAAAAAGTGCAGCCAGAGTGCTCCTTGGAGGCCAAGATGGCCAAACTTCGTCTCTCATACTTTGGACATATTGTCAGGAGGGAGCATGTTTGGTAAGATGGAGGGTCAGAGAAAAAGAGGAAGACCCCCACTGAGTTGGATTGGCCAAGTGGCAGCAGTGACAGACTCAAGTGAGGCAACGGTAGTGAGGTTGACCCAGGATTGGGCAGTGTTTCGTTCTGCTATGCATAAGGTCACTGTGAGTCTGTACCGACTCAATGTCACCTAACAACAACAACAACAACAAATGAAAGAATATAGGTAAATTGTTTAGTCCCATGAGTGATGTTGTTGTTGTTGTCAGGTGCCATCGAGTCGGAACCGACTCATAGCGACTCCATGCACAGCAGAACGAAACAATGTTCGATCCTGGGCCAACCTCACCACCGCTGCCACCCCCGAGTCCATCAATGATGCCACCTGGCCGATCCATCTCGTTGGAGGTCTTCCTCTTTTTCTCTGACCCTCCACCCTACCCAGCATGACATCCTTCTCCAACGATTGTTTCCTCCGGACTACATGTCCAAAGTAGGAGAGACGAAGCTTAGCCATCCTGGCCTCCAAGGAGCACTCTGGCTGCACTTCTTCCAAAACAGATCTATTGTGATACCGTTTGAATATTCAATAAATGGTTGCTGTTGTTGTTAAGTACCATTGAGTTGAGTTGGTTCCAACTCATAGTGACTATGTGTAGGTTTTCGAAGGCTTTAAATCTTTATGGTAGCAGAAAGCCTCATTATTCTACTATGGAGTGGCTGGCGGACTGTAACTACTGACCTGTGGTTCACAGTCTAGTGCTTCGTATAGGATGGAGCCATCACACTCCCTGAACAGATGGTAGATAATGATAAATATCACTATCATCAAATTACTTTAGTCAGATGGAAGAAAACTTGTTCTCTAGGGGCTAAGGAATCTAATGGGTGTTATAGAGGAAGTGGGGGGAGCTTTTCATGAAGTTGTTAATTCAGAAGCTCTGCTAGGGATAGTTTTTGTTTTGACTTTCACAAGCTAGTTTAAATTTATCAGTGATCCATAGGAAGAGGCAATTGAAATACCAGTGATGGAAATTATTTGGGAAACAATTGGAGTGTAGAGTTCAGGTCTTTGACTAAAGATATGACCAAGGATATGAAAGGTGCAGGATACAGGGCCCAGAGCAGGTGTGATGGAGTAGGATCTAGTGTGGTTGGGCAAACTCTGCTGGGCTGCTCTCCATTAAGTAGAGGACATGTGGCTTGGTGGGGCTCTGGACAAAGACACCTAGCACAGATAGGTTAAGTCAAGTCTGTAATTCCTGTTGCTTTGGGGCCTCAAATTAATTTGCAAATAAGTCAGGCAAAGGGCTGACCCAGAACATTAGAGGGTGTCATGTATTGAACTGTATCTCTCACAGATAATGTGTCAAATTTGCTGGGCCATGATTCTTAATGGTTTGGCAGTTACATAATGAGGTAATCACTTCCCTCCATCCCTATGATGTAATTTGAAGTAATCAGTTCTGATCTAATGTAATTATCCTAAGTGTTGTAAATTCTCACTTCTATGGTGTTAATGGGACTGGATGAAATCTGCAGGATTTTATTTTCAGTCTATGTCTTTTGAGTTATAAAAGAGATTAAACAAGCAAGCAGAGCTCAGAGGGAAGTACTACCTGCAAGAAGGAAGAGCTTGGAATGGAGTGCATCCATTGACCTGGGGTCCCTGCACTATGAAGCTCCTAGATCTCATGGCAGATTGATGCCAAGAAACATAGAGATCTCGAAAGAACACTGGACCTACAGATGCTGAAAGGAAACAAGGACCTTTCTCCAGAGTCAACCAAGAGAGAGCTTTTCCCTAGAGCCAGCACTCTTGAATCTCGACTTCTAGCCTCCTTAACTGTGAGAGAATAAATTTCTTTGTTAAAGGCATCCACCTGTGGTATTTCTGTTACAGCAGCACTAGAACTAAGACAGAAAGTGAATGAACTGCTCTCCCATTTTTCAGGAAGGGCAATTTAGAGCAGAAGAAACAAGGCAACCTTTAAATTCACATGCCCTTCTAGGTAAATTCACTATTAATTAGCTGTTGGGTGGTACTAAGGAGCTCTGGTAGTGCAGTGGTTATGAATCGCTGCTAACCTCAGGGTCAGCAGTTCAAAATTACCAGCTGTTCTGCGGGAGAAAGATGAGGCTTTCTGTTCCTGTAAAAATTTACAGGCTCAGAAACCCTGTACAGGGTCTCTATGAGTCGGAACCGACTCCATAGCACATAACAACAACAATATTATGTGTCTGGTCCCTGATGTGTTTGCATTATTCTGCTGTTTCTGTATTAGATACTTCATGTTGGTAGTTGGACTGTATGCTGCTAACCAAGACCAGTTCTATCTTCTGTCTGCCCACATCTCAGAAAGGATCATTGTACGGGTAAGTCTAGTTCTGTGATTTTTCTGGGTCCTATATGCCCTTCTCTCCATTGGTAAAATTTGTATTTTCATAAGCTTGTTTGAAATATGCTAATTTTCCAGTGATGATGATGAGGATGCTGAGAGTAATAGTACTAGTCAAGCCTGTTATTTTAGTCTTTATACAGTGGTTCGCAACTGAAGTTGATTTTGTCCCTTAATGAGCATTTGACAATTACCTGAAAACATCTTTCTTTGATTGTCACAATTGCATAGATGGAGTAGAGTGGGGTGCTGCTGCAGGTATGTAGTGGACAGAGACCAGGGATGCTGTTAGACACTCTACAATCTTCAGGACAGATCCCATGACAAAGAATTGTTCAACCCAATATGCCAAAAGTGTTAAGGTTGAAAAAAACCT